AAATTATCGCAGTCGTAGTCCTTAAGGAGTTCCATCCAATGACACTGCTCATGCTAAGTTCTTTTTGGGAAGACAGATACCTTTAAACTCTGATGATCTGTATAAATCTGAAATTTCTCTTTACACAGGTTATACCTCCAAATCTTAAGAGCGAAAATAATCGTAGCCAAGTTCAAGTCATGCGTCAGATAATTCTGCTCATACGGCCTCGATTACCGTGATGCGTATGCCATTACTCTCTCGTATTGCATCAGCACGCATCCCGATCCTCTTAACAATGCGTCATTGTAAATCTCATATCCTCCCGAACTTGACGGAATCGTCAATACTGGCGCGGTCGTCAACCTTTGTTTTAATTCCGGAAAACTCCTTTTGTACTTATCCGTCCATTCAAATTTCCTTTCCTTCTTTAGCAAACGCGTCCATGATGTAGCTAACGCTAAAAACCTTCCCACAAAACATCTGTAATAACCTACCAGACCCAAGAAGCTCTAAATCTCGATTATCATTGTTGGTCTTGGCCAATTCATGATAGCCTCAATCTTCATCGAGTCCACTGCAATTCCTTCCCTGGGTATCCCATGTCCTAAGAACGCCACTCGATGAAGCCAGAATTCACACTTATTAAACTTAGCGTAGAAAGCGTGTTCCCTTAAAGTCCGTAGAACCCTTTTTCCAAGTGTAACTCATGCTTAGCAGGACTCTTCGAGTATACCAGGATATCATCTATAAACACAATTACGAACTGATCCAGAAATTCCTTGAACACTCAATTCGTCAAATCCATAAAGGCTGCAGGTGCGTTCGTCATTCCAAACGGCATCACCGTAACTCGTAGTGTCCATACCTCGTCCTAAATGCCGACTTCGGCACGTCCTCCTTCTTGATTCTCAATTGGTGATAACCAGTCCTCAAGTCGATCTTACAAAATATTGATACCCCTTGTAACTGGTCGAACAGATCATTTACCCTTGACAATGGGCGTTTATCCTTAATAGTCACCTGATTCAACTGTCTGTAGTCAATACATAACCTTAACGATCCGTCTTTCTTCCTCACGAATAAAACTGGCGCTCCCCATGGAAACCCACTCAGACGAACAAAACCTTCATCCAATAACTCTCGCATTTGGAATTTCAATTCCTTCAATTCCGACAGTGATATCTTGTAGAGCGCTCCCAAGGTCGGTTTTGTTCCTGGGGCCAACTCAACCACAATCTCGACTCTCCTATCAGGTGACAATCCTGGCAATTTCCTAAAGAAAGACATCGGAAAGATTACACACCTCGGCTATGTCCTTTAGCCTTGATTCCTCAACCAACTAATCAGCCACAAATTAATTATCTTTATACACCTCAAAGACAAGCTCAATCCATGCAATTTCAATCCAACAGTCTCCCAAAACAAATCACCCCGGTTCTTTATAAAATCCGAAATTTCCAAGCATAACTCATCCTTCCAAACTCGTCCAAGAATGTCATTAGTAAATCAGAAATCCATAAATCGATTGCGCCTATCCACCATAAGTGATAATACGTCGTACATAATCATCCAAGTAATAACTTCAAAATCATCTCCTATTGTACCAAACACCATCTCATAACGCATCTAGACTTTCAAGGCATATCCTTCACTTCCTTCTCAGTCACAACATACACTTTTCCTTACGTCCTTAGCCGATTCTGATTAATCTGCGGGGGAGCTCTCGCTTAATGTCCTACCTGCGGTCGCTGCGATTGCATTAGTGACCTAACCTATCGGTTCAACAATTTCTCACCTGGTGACCTTACTGTCCACATCCACAACATGCTCCATTGGCAATGGTCATTCCTATGTCTCTTTCCATAAGACCGACATGAGGCGTTGGAGTAGTAGTTCGGCTTTCCAAGGTTCTTTCTTACTAAAGGGACAAATTTTTGTTTCTCCATCATAGGCTTCTTTCCAAAGTTCCTATTGTCCCTAGCAGGCGTGTATCGCGATCCATATACGGTAACCCTCTCGTTCATATCCCTTTCAACCGTTTAAGCCTCGTCATACAGCTCATTATAATCCCTTAAGTTCATTAGCATCAACTGACTGCGGAGATTCAGTTTCAGTCCATCCTGGAACCTCTTTGTCCTATCCACACGATCATTGACTATCCTTGGTGCATACTTAGACAACCTTACAAACTCGACCTCGTACTGATCAACTGACATTCAATTTTAACGAAGCCGAAGAAATTCTTTCATTTTCTGTTCTTGCGCATTCTCTGAAAGTACCTCCCATTGAAGGCCTCGACCCAAGCACCCCAATACTTCAAAGCCTTTTTCCAACTCTTATATCCAAAGTGATGTAGCCTCGAGGTCACTTTTCCCATCAAACTTCGGAGGTTTCAATTTCAAAAATTGCTCAACCAGTTATTGCATCTGTCTGACTGCATTAACTTGCCATTGACCTTGATTCCCATCATTCCCATTAAAATTCTAACTTCTTCGAGTGCCCTCAAAATCTCATCCCATCTGGGATCCTCTGCAACTCCAACTTGCGGACCTACACGACCTCAACCTCGACCTCTACCTCGACTACTCAACCTCACAGGGTTCAAGGGTTCACACCACCCACTTACCTGCTATAATTCCCCTCGGGAATTAAAGACCTAGGCCAACTATACCAGTCCCAAGCCCTAGGCAGTGAATCACCACAATTCACTTAGCAGATAGTCAATCACAAACAACACCCAATCACAACCAATAGGGTTCGTGCACTTACCTCAAGTCCTGACGCGCCTGCATTTCACACGTTATTGCATAAAATCACTCAGCAATCACAATCAAACAGTCTAGGTAACGCATGGCCAACAAGTCTCCCTAACTAGCTAGCCCAAAATAATCGCTCCTTATCACTCCAAGCTTCGACCATCTTGGTTCGAGCTGACCTTGCTCTGATACCAAATCAACGGGGATGTCACGCCCTGAACCCCAACGGGCTCGCGACACCCCTCGATGGTCGATCATTGAACACGACGTCCCAGGACGCGTCGCCGACCCAAACGAAACACCCAACGATAAAGGCAAGCGGAAGCGAATTTAAAACAACCCAGACAATAAAATATGACAAAAGGATAGCACAAAACAATAATTCCAAATACACAACATCAAAAGGGAATAGTGGTGGGGTATCCTACTTCGCTATACAAAAGAGGGCACACAAAATATGGGGTAACTTGACCCGTCCTCCATCCCCGAGATACCTTGGTGGCGTCTCCAATCAATCACGGTCGCAGATCTGAAAATGGTTATATAATAACCGTGAGAACGAGTCTCAATAAGCAACCCCCTATACCCCACATAGGCCAATGCGTACCCAGACAAGTCTAAACATGCAATCTAACTATCCACATAACAAATTTCACATAATGTACTTACCTTGCCTCAAATCACACGCCATTTCTGCACATTAGTCAAATCATGGTAATTCAATAATATCCCGAGAATATAACACAATCACTCGAGCACCATCCACACTTGCACTCAACCAATCCAACCAAACATCCACACGCACATTCAACCAATTCAACCACACACATTACGCACACGTGTCCAACCAACTATCCACGACCCGCGTCAACGCGCCTCAGGTCCATTTTCACAGCCCGCGTAAACACGCCTCAGGCCCAATCACACGACCCGCGTAAACACGCCTCAGGTCCATTCTCACAGCCCGCGTAAACACGCCTCAGGCCCGATCACACGACCCGCGTAAACACGCCTCAGGTCTATTCCCACAGCCCGCGTAAACACGCCACAGGCTCATTCTCACTGCCCGCGTAAACACGCCTCAGGCCCGACTTTCTTTCCAATGACCCGCGTAAACACGCCTCAGGCCCGACTTTCTTTCCAATGACCCGCGTAAACACGCCTCAGGTCTAACTTTCCTTCCACAGTCCGCGTAAACACGCCTCAGGCCCAACTTTCTTTCCAATGACCTGCGTAAACACGCCTCAGGTCCAACTTTCCTTCCACAGCCCGCGTAAACATGCCTCAGGCCATTCAGACAAGCGCATGCGCCACATTTCATTGAGCACATACAATCGCCACTAGACAAATCTCAATAATCCGCCAACCCAACTCATATAATGCTCAATCACACGCCAAGGCCAATCCACCAAATTCACATTCAAGCATTAAATCACACATGGACCATCACAAGTTAACCCGCCATTCAAACACTCCCGGCTCCTCATTCAATCACACCAAGCCGGTCCTTAGATCGCCACAACTCAGCTTACACTTTCTCATTAGCTCGGCCCAAACAAACCAACACGAACAATCGCCAATCGAACATTGAATCACAAGCGAACAACTAATAAACTCAACATAAATTTCCAGCATTATACGACCTCCAAACCAGTCATGCTATTTACCTCAGTCAATCACTAAATTAGCCACACAATTATCACCACAATAATTCATAAATTGGGCACACTCAATCTAATTAGCCCACGCCTAAATTAATTCATAACCAGATACTAATCACATCCTAAACAAGTCTAAAAATATCCAAAGTACTAGGCAGGGTTTAGGAAGTCACTGACTAGATTTTGGCCCGGGAAAAGTCGGCTCGGGCCTAAAATGGCCCGGGTGAACAATGTCTCACTCGGCACAGGCAAGGGCGCGACGGGCGCGGGGCTCGGCCATGGGCACAGCCCTCGGCCACGGGCACAAGGCGCGGCACGGGCGTGGGCGCGGGCATGGGCGCGGGCGCTGGCATGGGCGCGGGCGAGGGCACGGGCGCGGGCAGTGGCTGGTCGGCTGGGCTTGCTCCGGCAGCTGGCGGTGGCGGTGACGCGACGGCGAGCAGGGCGGCTCTCCGACGACCAGCTCGGAGGGAGAGAGTAGAGTCGGCCGGAGTGGGGTGGCGAGGGAGAGAGAGAACTGAGGCGGTGAGGGCTCGGAGCCGGCGATGCTCGGGCGACATGGCGACGGTCGGTGGCAGAAGGGACGTCTGGGCGACGGGCAATGACGGTGGCCGCAGTAGCGAGCTCCCGGGAGGCCGAGACACCGAGCCCGCGCGACTGCCGGGACGGCCAAGGCGAAGGCGTCGGACGGAGGCCAGAGAAGCAGCCGAAAGGGAGAAGGAGGAGGGTGAGGGGAGGGGTGGCGGTGGCGGTGGCTGAGGGGGCGAGCTGGGGCCTGAGGGGGGTCGAACTGGCGGCGGTTGAGGGCGGCGAGCAGCAGCTGGGCGCAAGGCGGTGTCCGCTGGTTCGAGCGAAGGCGACGCCCGCGTGCAGCTCGGGTGAGTCAGCCACGAAGGTTGAGCGGCGACGGGTGGTGGCGCGGCTCGACTAGGGCGGAGCCGGGGTGGCACGACGGAGGATGGACGGCACTGCGCGGCGGCCGGGCTGACTGGACGGTTGGGCTGAGGGCTGGTCGAGCAAGAGCAGAACCAGTCGGGTGGAAAGAGAAGAAAGGAAGAAGAAGAAGAGAAGGAAGAAAAGAAAAAAAAGAAAGGAAAGAGGAGAGAGAGTCTGACAGAAGGAGAGGGGGAGAAACGTGCATGAGGGGAAAGGGGAACGTGCGCGCGCTCGTCAGAGAGAGAGAGAGAGAGAGAGAGAGAGAGAGAGAGAAGGAAGGAAGGAGAGAGAGAGGGGCAGACGCACGGGGAAGAGGGGAAACGTGCGAATCAGGAAGCTCGGCGCGGCAGAAGGAGGAGAGAGAGAGAGACAAGTAAACACGCACTCGAGTGCGATCCAACGGTCAGATTTCAAATCTGACGACGATCTTACGGTCCAAAATAATTCCTATAATATACTAAGAGACAATGGCCACGAAATTTAGAGCAAACTAATTTGAGGGAGGTCTACTAGACCAAATTTGTACCCGATCGAAAATTTTACTTTTCACATATTCCTGACAATACCGACGCTGGCAACAATAATATCGACACCGTCTAATTTATTTCGTCTCGAAACTCCCGAAAATCGACTGCCAAGTTCTGGGTCTAAATAACGGCCAAATTCGATCGAGTGCGATTCTAGCAAAATCTCTATTTTTAAAACAAGAACCCGAGAGTGATCAGTTCCCGGGCGAGATTCTATTATAAGCGCACTGACGAATTACACGTTTTATAAATCCCAAAAATGGCCCAAAATTCGAAATGTCACATCAGGCGTGCTCTAGCTCGTGTCGATCGTGTGACCGACGCGGTGCCCTCGCCGGATCTAGCGAGGGTCGCCCTCGCCGGCATCGGGCGAGGGCCGCCCAGCCTTCCCCGACGTCGGCGAGGGCAACCCTCGCTTGGGCCGGCGAGGGTCGGCCCTCGCCCGCCCGGGTGAGGCGGGCGGCCCTCGCCGACAGCCGGCGAGGGTCTCCCTCGCTTGCCCGGGCGAGGGTTGCCCTCGCCGGCGTCGGGCGAGGGCCGCCCGGCCTTCCCGGCGTCGGCGAGGGCAAGGGTCGCCCTCGCTGCGGCGTCGGGCGAGGGCCGTCGGGGAAGGCTGGGCGGCCCTCGCCGGGGCGGCCCTCCCCGACGCTGGCGAGGGCAGCCTCCGCCGGCCATAGCCGGGGCCGGAAGAGGGAAAAAAGCAAAAGAAAAAAGCAAAAAAAAAAATTAAAAAGTAAAAAATTACTGTTCCGGCCACCAGAACAGTAAAAAAACTTGCCGCCGGCGATTATTTGGCCGGCCGACGAACCCAGGTACCAAATTGAGACTGATTGGGCACTTGAGACCCCATTTTGAGACTGATTGCACTTGGGACCCCATTTTGAGAAAATGGGCTCACTTTGAGCTCCAAATTGAAAATTTCCCTAATAAGAATAGAGAGACAAATTCACGATTCTCGTGTAAGAGACTCTTTGGTGCAATTTTCCCGTAGCAGTTCAGTAGCGAAAAAGGTTGCCGTAGCTTTCAAAGGCTCTCAATAGCCGCGTTACTTCCAAAGTTATTACCAAACATGTGTCTTATAGCATTTCATAACATAGTTATTACAGTTTCGACCAAAAATAAAAAGCGTAGTTATTACAGCACAACGCACTTCAGTCATGGCCCATGGTTATACCGAATGGTCTCTAAATCACTTTTTGCAATCCCTTCCAAGGGAACAATGGTTCAAATGCTCTCGTCTCTCTCCTTCCTCGAAAACATATCTAAAGGTTAGATGTTTATACTATGCAAGTAGAGAGTATTGACCATGAAAGTACATGACCTTTCATTCCAATTCTATTCTACTGCACCTAATAAAACTTTGATCTGATTGGAGATTTATAAGCACAACAAGATGTAAACAGCCACTCTATGCAAAGCCAAGGGGCGTCGAGCAATGCTCGAAACCGCACCGGAATGATCGCAACAACCAACCCCGTAGTGACACTGCGTATACTGCCGACTGCACAATTGCTGCTGACGATGGTCGCTGTAGATCAGAACCAACAAGGCCATAAGAAGTTTCTGTTGCAGTGCCCTATCCATCAAGCAAATCCCAAATCTTGCTCGGATTCACTCGAGAGAACTGACCCAATTGTTCATTCAGTGGCATTTGGTCAAAAGCTCCAATCCGTTCCGCTTCGGCATCCAACGTGAGACCTTCGGCAAATCTGCCTTGCTCATAGAACCGGTCCCCCTTGCTCGCAAGCTCGTCCATGCATCTTAGGGGTAAGTACACTAGGAGTGCCATAACTTTTTTTTCACTCACTTGAGTACCGCAAATTTAAAAAATTGATCACTTGAGTGCCATCGGCGATTTGCCTCGCCTGAAAATCTGATGTGAACGCCGATCGTCCTACGTGGCTTCGCCGGAGCTGACGTGGATAATTTTTAAATATTTTTTTTATTTTTATTTTGCAATTTTGCAATTTTTTTTTGTCAATGTTGCCAAGGGTCACTGGTGACCCTTGCTAGCTGTGAAGGCCTCGCCCATATTGGGCGAGGGCCGCCTTGCACTTGGCCGCGAAGGCCGTCGCCAAATCTGGGCGGCCGTGGGTGAGGCGGCCTCGCCAGATCTAGCGAGAGCCTATGCCGCCGCGGGCGAGGCGGCCTCGCCAGATCTGGCGAGAGCCTTTGCAGCCTCAGATCTGGCGAGAGCCTTTGCTGCCTCACCCGCGATCGGTGGGGCCGTGATGGCTTCGCCAAGGGCTTTCGCGGCCGCGGGTGAGGTAGTCAGAGCCTTCGCTGCCTTGCTCGCGGCCGGCGAGGCCGCGATGACCTTGCCTGGGGCTATCGCTGCCGCAAGCGAGGTAGCCTCGCTAGATCTAGCGAGAGCCTTCGCCGCCTCGCTCACGGCCGGCGAGGCCAGGATGGCCTCGCCAAGGGCCTTCGCGGCCGTACCGGCCAATGGCGAGGCGGCCCTCGCCCAGTTTGGCCGAGGGCGAGGGTCACCGGCGACCCTCGCCAACCTTAAAAAAAAAAGGGAAAATAAGAAAGAAAAAGAAAAATAAAAAAGACAAAGAAAGAAATTCAAAAAAATCAATAAAATAAAAATAAAATAACATTAAAAAAATCCACGTCGGATGGAAAATTAATTAAAAAATCCAAGTAGGATTTTACTCCAATATGACATTCAAGTAAGCGAAAAAAAAATTATGAGACTCAAGTAAGCGCCGTACGAAAGTTATGACACTTTTGGTATCCTTATCCCATGCATCTTACGATCCGCAGGCGTGACAGCGCGCTCCCCTCGGCGAATTCCCGCTCCATCTCACGCACGTTGTGCATGAGCCTCCCCACATTCTCCAGTTAATTCTTGACCGCCCTCTTCCTTGTCTTCCCCAGCGAAGACTCTTCGTGCTCGAGCAGAGCCGACCCATCTCCGTATTTTTCTTTTTCCTTTTTTTTTTTTAAATTTATTTTCGCAATACGTATTTGTTCATAATTCGGTTCGTGTCGTCAGCGTCGTCAAAACCGGGACCCAAGGAGCACGTTTCGCCCCCGGATTGAAACGAAACGTCAACTTGTCACGTCAAAATCTTTGAAAATATACAAATTGACATTTGACTTGTGCCTACGCCTAAACAACCCCTGAAATCTTTAAAAAAATAGACAAATTGGCATTTGAAATAATGAAGAATCATAGAAAAGGGACAAAAAAAAAAAAAGATCTAGGAAAGACAATTCTATTCGGGGCAAAAAGGTCAATCCGTACTACTTGTCGATGTCTAAATGTTAGTCGTCCCGAACTGATTCGAAGGCTATGCGCGGATAAGATCTGATCACGAGCCTAATGACCCATGAGCTTGTCCGGGACGGATGAGATCGATATCGGGGGCGGGCTTGAATGAAGTGCATTCGGTTGATAAGAACAAGAATCGCCAGATCCGATTAAGCCCGAGCTAGGTCCCGACTCGATAAATCCTATTTTTACATTTTTTGTGATAGGCGGGTATGAGTGAGTTTAAGTTCCCCGTTCCAATTCCGGGTTGTCGAAAGATCTCCTCTAGTTCAGTTCAGAAACTTAAAGATGAACACAAAATGTATACGAATTGTACTGTTTGCATCACACCGTTTCACTTAAAGATGAAAACAAAATGTCCCTGACTTGTAGATTGAAGCTGTCATTCGTCAATACTTCTGCTTCGCGAAAGAACGAATTCCATCGTGTGGGAATTAACAACCTCCTTTAGGATCTGGGCTCTGAAATGCGGCGAGCCGACCGTCCGAGCTAGGGCGCATGAGGTCGAGGAAGTTGTTATGAACGTGATAGTCCATGGCCGCCTGGCTCACTAATGTCTCCAATCTCCTCTGGACGGCCCACATCTTCCCGTCGAGGCGCGCGTAGGCGTTGGCCGTTTGGACATAGCTCGTGCAGCCGGTGACCATTTCGAAGGCGCCTTTCAAGTGTTTCATTAATTCCTAGCAAATAGAAAGAAGTGATCAAGAATTCAGCACCTGACTGCAGAAGATCAAACTCAATTGCATGGTGAAAAGTGTGAAAGGTGATCAGGAGTTCAGCACCTAACTCCATATGTGAACACAATGTGTGAAAAGTGTTTTCTGGCTCTGGCAACAGAAGAAACACTTGATTAATCAATTATTTTTTTGGGCATTTTTCATAAGTTTAGCTGAGGATTCCAATTTCACATTTATTTCCAGCTCTTCTCAATCACTTACTAAGCAATTCACTAACCAAAAAGTAAACGGTTAGTGCGTGATGGAGGACTAAAATTCTTGCTCTATTGGCAATTTCAGAAGATTAAGGACCTATTTGCTTCAGTATTTCCAAAGGACTTTGGGGCCCAAATGCAAATAGCATTTGATAATTTTTTTGGAGCACTTTAGGGAAATGCAATTTGCATTTCCAAAGGCCTCTAGGCCTTTGGCTCAAGATAGATCCAAAGATACTTTGGCAAGTTGCATTTTTGGAATTCAAGTTTAATGTTCATCGCACTGTTCATCTTCCTCGAGCAGCAGGTTCGGAGGCCGGCGACCGCCGCTTGAGGGTTGAGCGACCCTCAAGGTGGCGGTCGCCGGGGTTGCGCGACCCAAGCAAATGTTGGCCTGGGTCCGCAACCTAGGTGACGCCTGAGGTCGGGCGACCCCAGGCGGCGATTGCCAGGGTTGCGCAACCTCAGGCCGCCTTGCTTGAGATAGGGCGACCTCAGGCGAGGCTAGCCGGCGGCCGTTTTGGCGTGCCGGTGGCTAAGCTCCACCTCAATTTTATTTTAAAAAAAATATTAGCAAAAGTCCTGTACAAAATTAGTTTTTTTAGGCCAAAGTTGCTTTCAAATGTGATTTTAAAATGCACTTTACCAAACACTACTTATATTTTGGAAAAACCCTTTAGCCCAAAGGCCTTTGCATTTTGCCAAAGATATTCACCCAAAGACGAATCAAACGGGTCCTAAGTAGCGGCAAATTTGGTGACCATTTTTTAATTTTCATGACTTGAACATGTTTATTGACTTGAAAGTTTCTGATCAGATCCACGTCAAGTTGTTAGCTAATTTTCTAATGCTCTTATAGTATGGCCCGATCACATCTGAGGCCCTTTGCATTTGGTCAGGAACATCATTCTTCATGGGGTTATGTATGGCAGACTTGCAGTCACATTTGGCTAATTTTCAGAATAACTATTTGAAATGAGTTACATCGGTGCCTTTTCTAAGAAAATTACATGCTTTTATTGGATATTCGATATATTGGATATGATATCGAAGTAACAAATCAAATACCCAAAAAGCAGCATGGTTGTAGTTCGCCTGTTCCATAACTCATAGCTCTAAAGTCGCGCAACCACTTCGGCATAGAGAAGAAGAGGAGGCCTTAACATAGACTCGTGGCTATCATCAAGTCCTTAGCTAATCTGAAGACAATTTTTTGCACCCAAGGCATGTTTACTAGTGGAATGCAATTGATGACGAATAGAATTAAGACGCGAGATAAATAGATAATGGCGTATTTTCTATACTGATGTGCTGAAGTTGTCCAAAAAGGTCAAGTTCACGAGTTACTGAGCTTTGCTTGAAATTATCAGCGAGAGCTTTCCATACTCGTGTTGCTATTTGAAGACCAATGGCATGTTCGAGAACATCTTCTGCGAGTGTGCCCATGATTCAAGATTTTACGAGATGGTCAGTGACACCAATGGGTTCCTTTTTGACGGGAAATGGTTTGGCGTTTGATGTCGAGGTGGAATAAAAACTCTAAGAATAAAATACCGGAAATATAAACGCACGTAGAAGATCAAATAACAAATTGCAAAATTAATTAAAGAGATTCGGGAAGTTGTGTATTGAGAGAGATATCTTCATGATTACACTCGAGATTCTAGGCTTATTCTATGTATGTCAATGTTATCCACAAGCAGTTACGACTTCTAAAGCCACTAAAATATTCAACCGTTAACTTCATATTGGTGTCATCATTCGACATCTTCGATCTGTATCTTTCCCTTCTTCATGTCCAACACCTTGCCAATTCCACAGTAGTTGGTCATCCATGAGCTTTATTGTAAATCCTGATAATTGTCGATCGTCCTCTACCGTTGGTTGAAAATTGTGCCATATGTGATCATCGATCAACGTCATGTAGTTATCGATGAACATGCCGTGTAGTTGCCGATTCCCCCTATGTCAAGTTCTCTCCCCTAACAGACCAAAAAAAAAAAAAAGTTCTCTCCCTTAACCAATCTCAATTAACCAATCAAACTTTATCATTTATTGATAAGAGTTAAGCTATTTTTTGAGGTAAATAATTACTATGGATCATTTGCTTCATAGTACAAAGTTAAATATTTTCTTGGTTTTACATACATTCTTGCTCCTATCATCAACAATCGTCCTATCTCAAGTGGTTGTAATCTGTTTTTACTAGAGGTTCTTTTGGCTCTTTAGATATGGATTTCGACCTAGTGCTCCACATGGATGAACCGCCCACTCCTATATAATTAAGCAAACCACTTGAGATTTCGACAAATGAGAGATGGTAGATGCTAATTAAATCTCACGTCAATAGGAGCATTCCAGGTTCAATTCCTGATTGCGATAAAGGTCAAGGATTTCATGGAAGCCATTGTTGAAACAACTTGTGTCTTCTAACAAGGCATTGGCTAGGACCCTAATGAACAATTTGTAAATTGATGTTCAACTTACTTCCTAGGAATTTGTCAACACGTGGCCCTTGAATAAGACTACACGAACCAGATCTTCTCGAGGAAAATCTAGTTGATGTTCCCTCCCACCAGTACAACACTTAAATTTGAAGCCATGCTTTGACAATGCGTCATAGGAAAATCTTGCAAACCGAGTCAGGATCTTCTGTGTATCCACTTGATGGTTACCTAATTCTTGACCATAATTGATCCGACCCAAGATTATCAGCAGGTTTCCCAACGGCAATGTCCTTTTTCCTATTATGCATAAACTTCGATTTGGATACTACGAGGTAATTCTACCAAAGCCAGGCCGTCAGATCACGATCAGACGTTCGAGCAAATGTTTGAAATAGTCTTACGTGTATGGAAGGAAGAATCTTGAGGTTCATGTCGAGGAATCTTCGGAGAGCTCATAAACCCAAGTCGCACGATGTTGCCAACGTTTTAAATTTTGCGAGCAAAGTCAAAGTCGTGAATCTAAAGAAGCAGGACGGCCATTTCATTGATCCAATCCAATGCAACCCTCGTTGCGTATCTTTGATCTTTGACAAATATCCTCAAAAAAAAATCAATACGGCGATGATCCTATCGAATCCGACGTCGTTTTCCCCTGCCGAACGTGAAGATTTGCTCTGCAATCCGAGATTCTTGCCCTCATTTTCATGCAACTCAACTTCTTTCTAGATTTGGGCTATTAAAATACAGAATCCTGTTTAGATTGGAAACGTCTTTTGGCCACTAACACGTTGTTCTTGGTCAATGCAAAGTTTTAATTCGAGAAGACGAGTTAGCAGTCCTTAGAACTTTTCTAAGTACATATATAGAAATTTGACCCCGCTTGGTTGTAGGGTTTGGCCAGACTAGATTATTTGAACGACAGATTTGGGGTAATAGAATTAAAAATAAAAAAAAATACAAACTACAACCAAAATAAAGTAAAAATCATTAAAATAATTTTTTGGCTTGTCCTCCTCATTTGCATAAAATAAGTCATAATTCATTTTTGCTATTTAAACATCAAGGCTATTAATAGAAATACAGCAGGCCCCTTTGGGTCAGTCCATGGACACATTAGTTGCATATTAAATAATAGACTTGGTCGACTACAATCGAATGTTGTGTTTATTCGTGTTTTAAACTAAATTATTACAATTCCGACAAAAAAAAATGTAATTAAAACATTAATGAACAGTGATGTGGTCCTCGTGAGTTGAGCCAACCGAGTAGATTACCATATTGATCAAACATTCTTCTATGATCCAGGTGCATATGAGCCCGACTCACATGCACCGTTGGATGATGTGAGTCTATACACTAGAATCATGAAAGACTCACTCCACCTCAACTTCAATCAGGTTGAAATTGACGGCCTCGATAGTTGGCACAACACACTCAAGCTCAATTTTAAAGCTGGAACTCTCTTTGGGTGTTTGATTCAAGGAGCTTGAGATCCTCCAATTGATTTTTCGTGTTGAGAATGAAGGTTGCTGCAAAGTGTGTTTCCACAAATGTTAGATGATATACCAGTACATGAACCTCTATATTTTCTCTGTGGGCATGTACATTGACTTATTTCTTCACAGTATTATAGAAGATTAGGTGAGTCTTATAAACATAAGACCATAGAGCACATGGTTTTCTAGGCTTCACACTTTTCTTGCTTCCGCAACCCAGTCTAGACGATAGGAAAAAATTGGAAGAAAATCAATTCACCGACTACGTGATATTGGAATCTCCATAAATACAGTTTGAACCCTCATGTCTTGCAGAGAAATAAGATCAAAGTCAAATCGCCGACTGATGATATCGAAATCTCTGCAAATCAAAGCCAAGAGCCGTCACAAATATTTTCTTACACGTTGCGTATAGTACTTTTCTTTTCCAAGTGGGCGTGGCTGCGCAATAGTCTCCTTGCATGCGTGTTTATATATGAGACCCTTGTGAGCTCTCCCTCTCAAATCCGCCACAAACACCTACACACACCAACTTGCTCATCAGCTCCTTGTCCCTCCAACGTTAGAACGGCACAAAACCATCCAATGGCCTCACGTTGCATGATGCTATTACTTATCATGATGAGCACATTGCTCTCAATGGCAAGCCAATCCAAGCCTCTGACCAATTCACCATACGACGAGCTCCTTTCTCTCCCCATCGCCGACGACCTCCACATCGACCCTGAATCCATCCGTGAGGCCTCCGTTGACTATGGCCTCATCGTCCGAGAAATTCCCTTGGCCGTCCTTCGCCCATCTTACCCCGAAGACATCGCGACTCTCGTGGCGTTCGTGTACAATGAATCCTCTGTTCCTCTCACCATCTCAGCCAGAGGATGTGGCCACTCCGTCCGCGGACAAGCTATGGCTCGTCATGGGGTCGTCGTGGACATGACGTCTCTCGGTGACAAGCGGCGCGGGACCACCGTGTCGTGGAGCCGGTCGCTCGGCCACTACGCTGATGTTGGCGGCCAGCAACTTTGGATCGACGTGTTGGAGGAGACGCTGAAACACGGTGTTGCACCGGTATCGTGGACAGATTACTTGTACCTGACTGTGGGTGGTACGCTATCTAATGCGGGCATTAGCGGGGAAACATTTCGCTATGGTCCTCAGATCAGCAACGTCTACGAAATGGATGTCATTACTGGTATGTGTGGACTCACCCTCAGCTTCCGTATTTTGACTAGAAACTGATTGAACATAAGTACTTCACGTTCAAAGTCTTTTCAGTTAATTGCAAACATTCGATGAGCCTATCATCTCTGTAGATAACTCATCTGCGAGAAGTCACAATTAGAAAACAACAAAAGCAGATTCGTTAAACACAGTCGACGAATTAATCATACGTTTCATTCCGACCAAAAAAGAAAAAATCATACGTTTCATGACTTCATAAGTTATCTGATTAGCATATGTCTATTTTAATATTAAGGCTCAACGCATGCATTTTGCGAATTCGCTCTTCTATCTTATTTTCTAAGAAACTACGTACTTTGAGTGTTATATCAAGAAGTTGACCTTTACTATATTTTATCCCCACGCTAACAACGCAATATATCCGGAGGTTTGACGTCCACCGGCCCATGTTCCAGATTTGTTTCATAGCAGTTGAAGATTTGAAATGGAAATATTATGTTGACCGGATAAGTCAACTGGGTTAAAGTGATATATCCAGATTAATCTCCGAAGAACGACGATTGTGTTTATTCTCTAATCTATTAGACAAAAACTGATAGACTTCGGACTCTAGCCAAATACCAATTTTTCTAGTTTATGCATGTATGCACTCATGGAAAAAGACAATGATGTCCTGTCTGTTGCTATCGTACTGGACTGCCATTGAAAAAATATTAATGTGTTGCAATATAACAAGGAATTTGATATTACGTTTTGAAATATAAAAGATTTGAATAAGTGACGACTATATTTCGATGCGTAAGATTATTTCTCGTTCGAAGTATCAAATTACACACCATATATTTCATTTTCTCATATTTGCTTGATTGTTGAGGATATAATTTATTTTTCTTTTTTGTTTTGGTAGGAACTGGGCACTTTTTGACTTGCTCTCCCCACAAAAATCCCCAGTTATTTTACTCCGTCCTTGGTGGTCTTGGTCAATTCGGCATAATAACCAGAGCAAGAATTGCATTGGGTCAAGCTCCAAAGAGAGTATGTAGCGCACTGGACTCAATCATCAATGCCTCATAGGATCGAACTATTCTTATTCTATAGAATCGAGACAATCACAATTCCTTTTTAAATGAACGATGTATGCTCGAGTTTGCCTTTTATAAGCTGCAGTTGTCGACTCTGTCTATGACATTGGACAAATCTAGAAGTCAGCTTATACGTTTCTATAGGGTATTCTTTCAGTTGGTTGACAGAGGAGATCTACAAGGTAATAAACGTATTTGTATCTGAATCCCTTGTAGGCTAAGTGGGTAAGGATGCTATACAGTGATTTTTCGGCTTTTATGATGGACCATGAACGGTTGATATCACGCAATGGAAGGGACCAAGGTGAAGCGTTGGACTATGTAGAAGGTATGCTTGTCATGCGCCGAAATTCTGACAGTTGGATATCTTTCTTCTCTCCCTCGGACCACCGGCGGCTGCTGTCCCTCGTGACCGAACACGAGCTTCTCTACTGTATCGAAGTAGCGAAGTTCTATGATGGAAGCACTCAAAGTATAGTAGACAAGGTACATGTTGATCTATATCAGACTATCTTTGAGGAAAAAAAAATCCTAGGTCATATTTTGAACTATCTATGCATATGTCGGACTAGGGTTTTGGAGTACCTCTCTCTCTCTCTCTCTCTCTCTCACACACACACACACACACACACACACACACACACACACACAAATATAGTATAATCGCAGTTTATCACATCAAATTTCCGGTTCGGTTTTCCACTTCGGTTCTGAGACCCCTACTTCCATTAGCTTCTGCTCGGTCCCATAAGAAACATCTTATCTCTTTTCTTTTAACTTAGTTCACTGTTTATCTTATCAATATTAGGACCTTGAGATGATATTGAAAGATTTGAGGCATGTCCCCGAGTTCCTGTTCCAGAAGGATGTCGCCTACGTAGATTTCTTGAGTAGAGCAGGAGTCGAACAGGGGCCACAGAACGAAACTCACCCGTGGCTCAACCTATTTGTGCCCAAATCTCGCATCGCCGATTTCAACACGGGCGTTTTCAAGAACATTGTTCTGAAAAAGAACATAACAACCGGACTTGTCCTCATTTACCCTATGAACCATGACAAGTATGTTTTCTTGCTAGCCACCACTTTCATTTTGGGGTATAGATTTCATTGGTTGTTACTAAAAGTTAACAAGTTGTGGTCACTAAACTTGGATTCTAATCAAATTAATGCACTAAAGGATTGATTTCTTGCAACTGATGCACTTTGACCAAAACCAGACTGATTTCTCGACGAAATTGTTGATGTGTTGCCCACGTGACAATGGCCCGACATCCAGAAAATTGTCCACCTATCCGCCATGTCATTAGTTCGTAGGAAAATCGGTCAAATCTGGCAAGTGCATCAAATGCCAAAACTTGGAAGTTATAGTGCATTGAATGATTAAAATAAAAAATCTAAGTGGCTTGATTATAAACTTTACTAAACCTTACCGGCCATATATGAATTTAACCCCTTTATCAAATTTTGATCTATTTTGCAGATGGGATGATAGAATGTCTGCTGCTATACCAGATGAAGATGTCTTTTATACGGTCGGATTCTTGCATTCAAGTGGGCTTGGTGACTGGCAAGAGTTCGACCTTCAAAATAAGGAGGTGCTCCTTTTTTGTGAAGATAATGGTATTAAGGTCAAGCAATACCTCCCAAATTACAGCACCGAAAGAAAGTGGATGGAACATTTTGGTCCGAAATGGCGGACTTTTCAAGAGAGCAAAGCCCAGTTCGATCCGAAAATGTTGTTGTCTCCCGGGCAGAGGATCTTCAACCACAACTAAGGCATGGATTCAAGATTGGTGGGGTTTAGGGTTCAGTAGGTTTTCTACGCACGCACTTAGTTATGTTTACATGAATCATGAATGTTTGCTTAGCTTTTGATAATTTCACATGTATCCGTCTGATCACATCATTATAAGTTTCATTACGTGGAAAACTATATGGATCGGAATAAATTATCCCAATATGCAGAATAAATAGTCCCGCTTCCGCTACAAGAAATGCAATGCATTAAACATAGAATGTGTGTATTTAATTCTTTCGAAATGACGATCATCAAAACCTTTATCTCCGTACATTTCGGGTAGCATAAGGTTGACATCAGCAGAGCATGGCGATGTTTGATACCAAGCAAATTCATTGAAAAAGAAAATTCAAGAAGAAGAAGGTAGGTTAAAGGATCATCAAAAGATGCTACCCAGCAGTGACGGAGACAGAATTTCAATTTGGGTGGATGGAGAGAGAGGGGGAGGGGAGGGAGGAATTTTTCAAATCATTCGAGTTGAAAAGTTAACCAGAGGGGATCATAGCCTATTCATAGAGTCTATTCAGATAAGCCTATTCATTATAAGTCATTGTTAAAATACTGACCTACACCGTTCGTCTTATTAAATTATTAAAACAAGATGGCTTAATATAATTTGATCACATGACCATATTTAGGCTATATAACATTGTCTCATATATTTTATTTACTTTTTAACACACTGTATTTTCACATATTAAAATAATATGCGAGTAATATTAACCAATACCATAAGAACTTATAAAAGTTAGGACTCGGGATCGAGGCTGCGTTTGATGAGTCGACAAGAATACATCCGTTTGAGTGACCTTTTCCTCTTTCCTTTCAGTTTCTTGATTCTATATGCTGGCCAAGTCTATCGTTGTTCATGTCGATTTTACCAAAAAAAAGATTATTTTTTGAGAGGGGTTGGCCCCCGTGTCTGGTGTTTCAAATTTTTCCTGGCCATGTTTTAGTGTAGAGATTGTGTGAAATGTAATACCTCAGACATCTTATCGAAAATTCCTAACCTAGATGGAGGTCTATATATGGAGTATTTACAATCACAGCTATTGACAATTTTAGGATCCACATAGGATCCACATGATCAAAGGATTGATCCGGTTTGTGAGAATTTAGGTTCGGACAAGAATATTCGTCAAATAATCCCATTTATGACGCAAAGATCTGCTGTTTGGGTTCAATTCAAGTTTAGAATTTCCTCAAATAATCTGGTTCATGATTGCATCTGAAGCTGTTCTTATTGTCTTGGGTTTGTACTTGTTGACTGGGTCCACCTTATGTGGGGCCCAGCTTGCATAAAGCAAATAAAAAGAAAAGAAACAAAAGTCAAAATAGAAAAGAACAAAAAGAAAAGGGGCAGCTTCGTGCGTGTGCCCAGAAGAAAGAGAGAGAAAAAGGAAAGTGAGTCTCACCGAGAGCTCACCGAGAGTGCAGGGGAGAAGAGGAAGAAAGGGGCGCATCTTGGCGGTCCGATTTCGAAGCCAAATGTTATTGGAATTGGCTCAAATTTTAGTATATTGTTCGTGAGACCGAGAGCTACGAGTTGATCGGTTTCGTTCGTTGAGAATCTCCTCCGAACTCTCCATTCACGATTAGGATTTTCTTCTCCATTTTATGTAAATTCACTTTCGCAGTGATGAAAATGATGTTGTAATGTTGATATTGTGCCTCTAGTGTGTGACTAGAGAAGAACTTGGTGTATCCTACTATTCTTGGTGATTAGTGAAAGTTTTTGGGGCGGTCCGTGATTTTTTCCTTATTGGGTTTCCACGTTAAATCTTGGTGTTGTTGATTGTTGCATTTGTTTCCTTATAATTACGAGCTTATATTGCTGGAATATAGTGGGTTGTTGTTGGAATTAAGTCGATTTTGATCGGTTTAGTTTCGGGGGAGATATTGATCCTGATTGGCTTGGTTCTCGGTGAATCGTTGCCGCGGTTCTCCCCAACAGTACTTCGTCATGTGGATGGTGAAGGGAACCACGATTGTCATCCGAAGCTGTACTCATTTGATGTTTGTGTGACTCACTGACTCAGTGTCGACGCCTGAATTTCACCCATAGGATTGCACTTACATTTCATGAAGTAAACTACACCAATCATTAGTTAAGTTCAGCCAAACAGAAGGGGCAAGGAGGTAGTTTCATCCTCAATTGCTTCTAGAAGATGTAAGGCCGGCCATTCAAGGTTGGAGAAGTAATTGCGTCGCTCATTCAACACAATTTCCACTTGATAGAAAGGCAATGATTTCAAGAAATATGTTCAGCCAATTCTTTCCAAGAGAGGTGGAGAGCTATGAACCTCGCCCACAATGCAAGGGAAATGGGGTGGATTTGTGCACGTAAGGATAGAGATTTTTGAAGAGAATCAAAAGAGGGTATATGTTTACTCCTTAAAAAGGGGACATTATATACTTTCTTACCAAGTAAAATCTCAAGGCCAACGCTTATAAATAGGAGCTCCCAGGCGCCTACCAGGACACTTTCATCTCACAACACACATCATACTCTCAAGCTCCCCCCCCCCATTTCTCTCTCTCTCTCTCTCTCTCTCTCTTCTAGTTGTCCTTTGGTGGCTCGTCACCCATGAGTCGCTACCCACGCGCGCACGCCTCAACAACCACCAGTCCGATGTCGTAGGTTACCCCGTCGCGACATACTCAGCTATGTTCCATCGCTTGACGTCCTTGGTGTCCTATCTTAACTAAGGTAAGATTGATGTGGTAATTAAGTCCTAATAAAAGTAGGATTATCTTGGTGGATCATTGAATGCATATTATGTAGTTGTCACGCCATAGGATATTCATGTTTGCTCTAGGTTAACCTTGTATCATGCATATTTAATGTATGAGGAATCGGATCTGCGAATCAAAAGATTGGACTCTTTATATATTACTCATGCATTGCATATAGTAATATTACAAGCTCAGATGATCCACCTTCCCAAGGCGAGCGCACTTTTCCACATCGGCCTTCACATTTGGAATTTTACTTTTGAAGCAAATTTTGCTATATGTCCTCAAACACTTCAAGTAATGGACCTCTTCTTACTACACATTGCAATTGTTTGACATGAATCCACCAAAATATAGCAAACAAAAGTTTTTATTCATTTAGCAAGGGATATATTATGCCTTCTTTCTAGGTATTGGTCAGTATGAAATTTGATACTATCGATCGTAAAACGAAAGATGCATTTTAGAAATTATTGTGCAAATTCATATTCCATTGATCACCTAAATGTAATAGTAATGTGCAATGTGTCATTCCAAACAAATTTTCGCCATTAAAGCAAAGGGAGGGGGAAACAAGAAGATTTTCCCTAGTAGGCTTGGTGTATTTTTTTTTAAATATATACTTTTTACTATGAAATTTCATATAAAATTAATTTCTAAATCTCTCCCCTCTCAGTTAGGTATTGCAGAAATCTTTTTTATCTCTTTCCCCTGAATGAGATTTTCTGCATCCACCACCAGTACCGATCTCCAATTTGTCGGTCAAAACAAGTGCACGAAAAATTGTGACATTTCTCGTTTCAACACAGCTTCCGCAAATAACGCAGTTAGCGTTAATTTCTTGAAAGCAGGTGCTTAATCTATACATTAGCTGGCAATTTTTGAAGGAAATACTAACCAACATATATTAAAGAGTAATTGGATAATTAGGGTCTAAATTTGTTGCTCAGGTGTGCAAATCAGAATAAATAGCATTATTAAAAGACAATGATAGACAAGTGGGGACATTAACATTATGTAATAATTTAGTCAATGATTGGCGGTTGATGAAGGAGTTTAATGTTTATTTTAGGTAATAAAACCCAAGTTGGGGATCTGGAGATACATGCCAGAACAAGTATCAAAGTTGGTCCCTGCGTCAAGCAATCATCTCCAGGTAGATTAGGTACAATGGAAATTGCGGATATAAGTTAATCTCCTTATACTAATCTGCTATTATCTTATGATTTAAATAGTCAACGTCAGAGAGGATTTTCTTGAAATTTTAGATGGAGCGTCAAGAATCTTTCGCAATAATTAATGGTGATGCGCGATCTTGCAGTGTCCCACAAATCCCCTTCAATGCAAGGTATAGCGCATTAGCTCAAATCACTCTCACTCTATTAATAATCCAAGGAGATTTAGTACCATTATAGATTGTGATGGTGAATATGAACAAGCGCTTAAAAACGTATTTAGCGTATCCAATTTATCAAGCATATCATATTTGATATTGATTGATGCAACACCGGCATTATGCAAAATAGAACTCGTATACAATATTGACTTACTTGTAATTCACGGGGTATCATTGTATGATGCAGTTAAGTGAAATTAGATCATTAAATTGAATACATATACCCCCACGATTTTATAAAGTAGTTGTTAAATCGATAGCAAAATAAAGAGAATTTGATGTTTTGAATGCATTGATTATTGGTACGTGTGATTAATATTGTTGAAATTGAATTATTGCTCATTCATATGAAAAACTGAAGTGTCTGAGAACCTCAATGTACTCGTAGCATTGTTTACAGGATCAGCTCTTGAAATGTTTTATGACGAAAATTTTCTACACATGATAAACGAACTACATCCACAAACCAACTGTTCTTTCTTTTCACATATCTTTCAACAGAAAACGATATACGTAGTAGAAAACAAAGTCTCAAAACTTTGAGATGTTTATAATTACTTAAGGTGGCATAGGTAGGTGATTCAAAAGCATCACATTGAAAAGGTTGATGTGGATTTAACGTCCAAAAAATCGAAAAATTACATGCAAGGAAGCATACTCCTACTTCAGAAATTCTCCAATTTATTGTTTTTTTTTGGGTAATGTGTTCCTATTTTTCTATGAACTGTCTTAATTACGTCGAAAGGGGTGAGCAACCGTTCTCTTAAGGTGGTTGACGAGGTTGCCACTCGACGGTCGGGCGTGGGAATATGATTGGTAGGGGTGAGCGGTTCTAGGTTCCTTAC